AAACAGAATTTTTATCGGAAAATCCGCCACTCTACAATTCGCAGAGGAATCTAAATCGATACACCATAAAACTGTCAAAAAGTCTTTGTAACAATGTTCTTGAGATAAGTAAAGTTGAATAACGATATGAGCGATGCTGATAAATAGAAGTAACAGTTAGGAATCCATCGATGATCCCTGCTGTCAAATGTCTTTTTTTTAACACTGTGTATTTTTAGCACCTGTGTGCACCCGACCATTTGAACTACTGAAAATCATGAAGAGTGGAGAGAGACCAGTTTCTGTAACATCAGGCCGCTTTAGAAATGCAACAGAACTAGATGTGGCAGTGATCGACGAGCAAAACAGCAACGTTGTTCTGATGTTTGGCAACGGAAATGGAACCTTCGACACCCCATGGAGCTACACCGTTGGTATTTTTCCAAGTTCTGTGATATCAGCTGATTTCAACAATGATAGCAAACCGGATCTGGCAGTAGTCAATTCAGGAGACAACACCATCAGTGTGCTGCTTGGCGATGGCAATGGGATCTTTCACACCCTAATGAATTATATGGTTGGTAGATACCCATCCTCTGTGATATCAGCTGATTTCAACAATGATAGAAAATCGGATCTGGCAGTAGTCAATTCAGGAGACAACACCGTCACTGTTCTGCTTGGCCATGGCAATGGGACCTTTCACTTTCCAATGAATTATACGGTTGGTAGTGACCCATTAGCTGTGATATCAGCTGATTTCAACAATGATAGAAAACCGGATTTGGCAGTGGTCAATAAGCTTGATGGAACCGTCAGTGTCTTGCTTAATACTGGGAATGGAACTTTTCAGACTGCAATGAATTATATGGTTGGTAGACACCCATCCTCTGTGATATCAGCTGATTTCAACAATGACAGCAAACCGGATCTGGCAGTCGTCAATTCAGGAGACAACACCGTCAGTGTCCTACTTGGCGATGGCAATGGGAACTTTCAGACCGCAATGGATTATACGGTTGGCACCTCGCCGATCTCTCTGATATCAGCTGATTTCAACAATGATAGCAACCCGGATCTGGCTGCAGCCAACTGCTTCGATTACACCGTCAGCGTGCTACTTAATATTGGGAACGGAACCTTCGTTACTCCATGGAGCTACACCGTTGGTACTTTTCCAAATTCTGTGATATCAGCTGATTTCAACAATGATAGCAAACCGGATCTGGCAGTAGTCAGTTCAGGAGACAACACCGTCACTGTTCTGCTTGGGCATGGCAATGGGACCTTCCACATTCCAATGAATTATACGGTTGGTAGAGACCCATCCTCTGTGATATCAGCTGATTTCAACAATGATAGCAAACCGGATCTGGCAGTCGCCAATTCAGGAGACAACACCATCAGTGTGCTGCTTGGTGATGGCAATGGAATCTTTCACACCCTAATGAATTATATGGTTGGTAGGCACCCATCCTCTGTGATATCAGCTGATTTCAAGAATGATAGCAAACCGGATCTGGCAGTAGTCAATTCAGGAGACAACACCATTACTGTGCTACTAGATGCTATGAATGGATTTTTTCAAAGTTCAAGCACGTATGCAACTGGAAGACACCCATCATCTTTGGTATCAGGTGATTTCAACGGTGATAACAAATGTGATCTGATTGTGACCAACTATGGGTCTGGGGATTTGTCTGTCTTTCTGAACGTGTGCAAGTAGCCAGTCATTTAACATTCAGTAGATAGAAGTGAACTTGAACAAAAGATAAATAAGTAAATCGATCTGTATATCAGACATACAAATCAATTTGCTAATCCCAACTTTCGCTTCTTCAGCAATCGACTGGAGTCGAAATAGGGAGAAAAAAGTAATTGGTGTGGTTGAAAAATAATAAGAAATGCAGAGTTTAAACGTGTTTCGTGTTATTTATTCCAAGTATAAACACTCATCAGGGCTCTGCATAACAATGAAAAGCACCAAAATCAAAAGTGAACTTTAGAAATAGAAAACAGAAATAAAATGGGAAGAGAAAATGAGGCAAAGTGCGAATTAAATAAATGAAGACAGCTCAAATGCTGCGTGAAGATAAAAGGAGACATGTTTTGACATGATCACTGGAATATGTCAAGTAAACGACGGTGATAAAATAATTAGCAATGAATGCATCTTGTAATTCTAAATAATGTCGATCCGCAAAAATTTTAGTTTTCGAAAGCGCATTCGGATTCAGCATTAAAAACTGAGTATGAGAATGATGCTTGATAGAGGTTGAAGTCATGACTTCAACCTCCATCAAGCATCATTCTCATACTCAGTTTTTAATGCTGAATCCAAAAAAAATGCTTTTGAAAATGCAGAAGAACGTAAACGAAAAAAATTTCACTTTTTTTGAAACTGAAGGGTTTTTCGAAATTTGAGACCCTTCTAGTATTTTGAAGATTTTTCATTCAAAAACCAATTTTTTAAAGCAAAAATGTAGATATTCTTGATCAGCTCGTCGAGCTCTATCGATTGATGTATAATTAAGCCAAAAATAAAATGGTGTGGTAGGTTTGAATTCGGTGCGCCTTATATATACAGATCTGTTTCAATAATAAAGTGGATTGACACGAGTATATATTTCGAGTGAAGAGGGTTGGGCTCTTACATTGGTGTCGTGACCACTGCTTTATTAACTGGTAAAGAAGCCGAGCCGGTCCAAAAAGGAGAGAACACAAGCGAGGATAAGCAGGTAAGTAAGTTTTAAATTTTTTAACTAAGTAAACGTCATTGTCTTTCATTTATTGCAATATTAAAATAGGAGGGACCTGAAAAGGTTTACTCTGTTTTTTGGGTGAAAGAAGAAAGACAGCACCAATACATCATACAAGAAGATACAAGGATTCTGCACCATTAAATACACGTGAGTCGATATCAAAACCACAAAGGAAAACACGGTTACAAGGCACCAGTACGATGTCAAATAAACCGGATCCCTTTTGGTGGAACATAATAAAGATGGGTGGGGTAATATAGGGACATTCGATGGAAGTGAGTCAACAAAGGTGGAACAATTCATAGCACAAATTGAGCGAAATTGGTGCTCTTATGAGCCATTGCACGTAAGCCACGACCGACGTTCTTCAATCGATATTTTCAAAACTTTTTCAAACTAGGGGGCGCTTTTAGACCGAACATTTTAATGAATTTTGGTGAAAATCAAGAAGTTGTATCGTTGCTGAGATATTGAAATTTTACGAAACGCCCCGAAAAACGTAAATTCCGCCATCTTGAAAATTTGCCAACTTTAAACTCTTGTAACTCAGTAACAACAGATTACTTAACCTTGGTGATTTTACCATAAGTAGCAGATAGTGTCTACTACAAATCCACGCAACGGCGAGCTCAAAATATGCTTTCGTTATTTTGTAATAGATGGCGCACTAAGAGCCCAAATCAAGGAAACTTGAATTTTCCTGTACCATCCATTTGAAATGAGGTCGACCGTGAGACTTTCGACCGTATTTTCGAATAGATCATATGTCAAAGCATAATTGGTAAAAATTTGGCGGTCTCAGAAGCTTTCGTTTTCAATACAGGCGATTTGAAAGTTGCAATTTTGCCCAAAAATTACCATTTTGGGCGATTTTGAGGAATGATTTTCTCCATGGAAACGGGACCATTCTGAAGCCCCCTAGTATACTCTTGGAGTACATCAGGTGTACTATCATAGTCCATACGGCGATTTGTGGGTTTCGCTAAAATGGCTTTGGGGGTTCGGTCAGGGGCACCGAGCTTTTGAAGCTTGCTTCAGTCAGTGTTTTTTTGTGCTATAATACATGATTCATAAAAACCAGTTTGATATGCAACTTTTCACAAGGAATTCAATGGTAATACAACAACAAGTTAATTCTGCTATTAATATGATCCTATGTACGAGTTCCGCCTGGGAACCACTCATAGGTTATCTTTGATGGATTTTTAATAAGGTAGTTCGAATAATAATTACTACTAACACTATGCAGAAGCAGTATAAAATTGATTAATAAGCAATTTTTGCCACTTTCTCAATAGTTTAAAAAAATGAGCCTAACAATAGTTAGATTGTATGCGTACTTTTCATGAGTAACTGAAAGCTAACACATAACATGGTACTTTATTGTCAATTTGATTTGCATAGAAAATTGTCATGGTACTATTGTATTTTGAAATCGGCGGTAGTATAACTGCTATTCATAAATATTTTTTAAAAGGGGTATGTTTGTTGTCAAGGTTCTGAGTGACAACTTTATCAGTTCTATTTTCTGTGCGTGATTGTTTTCTTTTGAAGTGTGTGTTCTGATGTATATGATGAAACAGATACTTGTTTTAATTTATTGTAGCTGTGAAAGAGCACATACTATGATAAGTTTGTATAAAGGATATTGAATTATGGAGAGAAAAGCCGTTCCAGTATACCTTTTGGACCGCTATGGATCTTCTGCAGCAAGTAACACCACAGGAGACGATATGGCTGAATTTTTGAAGTTTATGAATGATCAAGACCGAGGACTTGATCCAGAAAGTCGCATGTCAATAGACACTCCACATGAAAGTTCGAGTAGCACTACCAACATAACACCTGTCAGGCATGCCGACGTTTACATGTGTACACAACAGTATCCGACGACAGGAGACACGTCGAGGGAATACGTTCAACCATGTGATTTATCACGGTATTCCCAAAACGTTTTTGAACAAGAAACGATGGATACCTGTCATACACCAGATTCATATTTTTCTTTTACTCCTTCACAGAGGTATTTCAGTTCGGAGGATGAAGATGATTCAAGTAATTCAAAAATATTAGGTATTATAAAGTTTACTTTTTTTCAGTCCTAAAACTTTTCGTTATCTTTGGAGAACATGATCGTGCTGGCGGTAATGAGATAAATTCTACGACAGAAGATAAATTACCTTCAAGTTCATCTGAAGTAAGTTTACCTTCCACGACCCATTACAAGAGATGCTGTTTGTGAGAGTCTACAACAGAAGCATGCAGTCCTGGAGAAAAGAGTAAGCGATGCAACTTTTTACCGAAGTAGTTTCTTGATAAATAATGATTTTTTACAGTAAGACATAGATAGAATAAAGACTGCATTAACTTTGAAGAACTGGAAAAAAACGACGTTACAGGTTATATCAGTTGGACTGGTGTTGTGAAGGAACCAGAGGATGATGATGTAATAATGAACGAAAAAAATTTAATATTAAATCGTTTATCAAAATGTAATTTACTGATCGACAATTCGATGGAAATCTGCCCGAAGCATCGGGACACATATGGTGTTGGATGGAACGATCAAAGTACTTGTCATGATCCGAAGAAACCTGCCAAGAAAAGCAACTGTCGAAGAGCCAATTTGGCTTTATGTTGCAACATCGAAGGGTTTCCTGTTGGCGGAAGGTGGAGAAAACAGACTTTTCAAGAAAAAGAAATAAGCTTTACTTATTTTCTCTTGTAGTATATGTTCAACTCATCGGAAAAGTTCTAAGCGTGCTCCGGATGATATATTAACTGAAGCATCAGCGTTTTCAGTCGGCAGTATCCGTAGCAATTATGTACCGGATGGCGAACGTTCCCAAATGAATCGGATACTTAACGAGAGTGGAATTAGTCCAATAAAATCACAAGCTAAAATGCAACTTGAAGCACAATCAGCCGGTAGTATTCAAAGAATGGTGGCCAAGTTCAATCAATGTGTCCGTAATTTTGGAGGTAAACTACTATCCTTCTCAACAAAGAATATCGGTCCGTGTCTTTTGAATAAGTCAATAATGGAAGATGAGAAACATTTGCGGTTTTTTCTATCATAGTAGTTTACTGACTAATACACCAGAGTAACTCAGTGTGTTGCCTTCTTAGAAAAAATTGCAGATACGATAGCCCCAGGTCAAGGCATACAACTGTTAGAATTAGCAAAATTAGATAATGATAATGGTAAAAACGACAATAATCAAACTCGCATTATAATGAATAATGAAATGGTGTCGAATTTGAAAAAAGTTTATGATTTTTATATTAATAATAATATGCCATTTATTGAACAAGTTAGAATCATCGCTTTATTGCCACGTAACTGGACCTATGATCAAGTAATGAATGCTTTTGGTTGTTCGAAAAGTAAAAGTAGCAAGAAAAATGCAGGATAATAATGATTATATAGTAAATAATGAAAAAACAACTGTCATTCGACAAAGATTTGATCTTGAAAAAACAAAACATTTTATAACTTGGCTTTTGGAGAGTAATACGTTAGTTTCAGGTACAACTAATTGTTTTGCAGATGTAGATAGAGACGTTTTTTGGAAACAGTTCAGTATCTTTTAGGCACATACGGTTTGACAACTGTAAGAATGTATAATGGCGAAAAATGCGTAATACCAAAACAAATACTCCAGTCTCAAAAAATTCATGCCATTTTGGAATATAAAAAGCGCTGTAACGAGGATGATTTCGAACCATTTGGAATTAGAAAATTATACTACATCCTGAATAGCATTAATCCATCCAAACAAAAAGTACTTTCTGGTCTTGATGAATTCGTAACTGAAGGTGTGGAGGCCTGGAATACATTGTCAGGTAGGACTCTTAACAGCATCTCACTAGAACTTTTTCAATTAATTTTAGTTAATTTAACGCGAATATTAATTCAATAAATTAATTTAAATTATTTTTTAATCTCGAAAAAATAAGTTTGAAGTACGTCATTTTTATTTCAGGTATTGTTGACAAATTTGCAATACCGCAGAATGAACGAAAACGTTTGCAAAAACAAATTCAAGTAGCTGAAATGTATCAAAAGTCACGATATGCTGGACATTGTTCATTGACATCAGACTGTGTCACACATTGCATAACATTTGGTTTGAGTGATCCTTCAAGCCCACATTTCGAAACTAAATGCCAACATTCACATACAACAAATTGTTCGGGTTGTGTTAATATATTTAATACATTAGATGAATTCGAAAAAATAGTAAAAGAGATAAATGATCGAGAAATGAGAACAGAAGCCGTGTACGATTTTGAAAATTCATGAGAACATATAACTGAATGGTTACGTCATGCAATGCGTGGGGTTTGCCAAGATGCTGAAAAAACTGAAATTATTCAGAATTTATCCAATGATACGGCGTATAGCACGTTCGACTGGGGACAGAAAATTTTACCACAAAGTATCGTGAACCTCAAAAAGATTATTTCGGAAAGCGCGGTATGTCCTTATTAGCGGGATCATTTGTTTGGAAAGACAATTCTTCAGTTACAACAACAACAACTGCGACAACTACTCCATTTCGCACAGCTTCGTATATAGTAACTCTCACTCATGCGAACCAAACCGATCTGGATTCTCTTAGTGCTGGTGCATTAATCCTGAAGCAATTCAAATACGATCATCCACGTATAATGAAACTACACAAAAGAACGGATAATGCCAGTAACTTTTCGTCGCATTCAACGGCTGAAGCTGAACGTATCATTTGTGATAAGATAATTGTTGTGGCACTTCTTTGCGCTGCTGTACATCGGCATAATCGAAATTTTCGGGTTTAGCTGGGTATAGAATTAGCAGGGACTACAGTGAAGTCCTAAAAGGAAAGGATATATGTGATCGTATAATGGATGTATCGAAATCTCGTTTACGTGCATGGGAAAGTAACGGACATGATATACAAAACGCAGTTGATATAAAAGAAGGATTTGAATATGCAGATGGAATTAAAGACACAAAAGTAGCAGTGGCACAAATAATTGATGATGAAGAACGTAACGTTTACCTCAACAGCAGTTTTAGATAGTAAACTATTTGTCTATATGTTTTCCTTTCAGGTGTCCTTGGTGCATCAAATATTCCAAATGTTACGACAGTTAGAAGTATTGTGTATGATGCAAATGGAATGAAAATTCGCAAGGCAAGTGGAATTGGTAAAGGAAAATATGTACCATATAAAAATATAGATTTCGAAAGTAATATGAAAATAATAATTCCATTTGCGAATAGCATTGGTTCTCGTTTATCTGCTTCAGTCAAATCATCTCAGTAAGTTCTTGAGGAATTCCTTGACACAATTTGTAATGTGAAATCGTTACTCCGACTTTTAGGCGTGCCGATAGAAAATATAACAATATCCGTCTATGTCCTATCAACAGTTGCACAGCTAGTTTTGAAACCGAGGAAGAACTGAATATTCACATAGCTTCGAATCTTCATACAAAGCGTTCATCGAATGATACCGCTAGATCACAGACATCCACTTCTGTGTCGTTCCCATGTCGTAGACGTGGATATGTAGCTATTTTTGGTTGTCTGTGGGTGTCTCTATGTTGTCAGTGACTATCTGTGAATGTGTGTGCTGTCTGTGGGTGTCTTCATGTTTTACTATTACCCCTTGAGATCCTGCTTTAGGTTCGTTTTTCTTAAGCGTTTTCGATTTCAACATTCGGCGTAAGAAGATTTTTAAAATAAAAAAATCCTTTTTTATACAGGATTTCGAGAAGGAAAGCCTATTTGCCGAAACGAAGATGAACCTGAAATAGGATCTAAAGTATCTGTGGTAAAATTTCCAGCTCGATCGGACCGTTTTTTCGAGGGGTCGTAATGTGACTGAATGAAAACTGAAATTTTTCAGAAAAACTGTAGAAGAACATGTCAGAAAATTCCGGGCAAAATACATCGATCTTCTTTTCTGATGTTCCATCTCTGGTGTTTTAATTTTCATCCGATCAAACATCGGCTTTCCCAGTTTTCAAGAGGATCATAAAAGGTGAGAGGGTGATGTCCTTAAATAGAGACGGTACGCAAAACCTAAGATGGATTATTTCCTGGAATGTGTGATAGGAATGATGTCTCTTTCGTACCTATATCATCTACTTCTGTTTAAAATCGTCGATAAACTGTATGTCACATGATCGGAAATCGATCATGACTAGTTATAAAATCATTAATTAACCGGAGTTTGCTGCCTATAATAGATTATTTCAACAGCTGGCTGCGGTTAATAATTAGCCGTTTTTTACCGGTTGGGTGAACACTGGTCTCTGTTTCCACTCGTAATAGAAATCGGCTACCTCTTAAGCATGAACTGATAAATCTTTCTTTTATAAATTCTACAGAAGCAAAAGTTTGGATATTCTACTAATATTTATCCTATTAACCCTTTGAGGACCGGTGGTCCAAAAATGGACCACCTATTTTTCAATAAAGGAAAAACTGTTTAGTTTACATTAAACTAATACACATGTAAGGTTATTAAGGTCATAAACAACTACATGTGTCA